AATGGCTTCAAACAACAAAGTGTTGGAGCAACCAACCGCATTTACTGACTTATCATTGCAGAATAATAGGGATGTCATTATTCACATGAAACAAATAAAGGATACCATGAAGAATCTTTTGGTAGGCAAAAATTGAAGAATGCAGATAGATTCCTTCATATCTTTGTGAGGCTTTTCAAAGTGCACCTTCATCAAATAAATAGATAGATTGATAGATCAATCACTAAATTGGAAGTGGAAATGCTAGCATGATCCATTTGCATTCTTGGAGCAACACACAGCTGGGTTACTTGGCTTTGGTGGTCAAGATGAAGGATTCTATCTTGTTTGGCTTCCACAAGTATTTATAGCTATTGCTATGGATAGACTTTTGCTGCCTGTTGCCTACCTTTCTTCAAAAAATTAACTTGAGAAATCATTTTGTGGCCATTGTAATTAGATTTAGTGAAAATTGAAACTAGCCATAGATATTTGTTATAGAGGTTAAGGTTTGATTTAAGAAGTTGGCTTCTTCAGTTCAAATCATTGAAGGAGATTTGAGAATGTAGATTATTTGATATTTTACCAAGTAATAGTCATAAATCTAAAGGAATTATGCTTTGATTTTTCCAAATTTGTATCTAGTATGCACTTTTTTCATGGCTGGCATAAAGTTGATGGTATGGCAAGGGAATTTGAGGGGATTTATAGAGAAGTGTGGATGAAGCAAAAATCTTTTAGCATTAAGTACATGTGAAGCAAGTTAAGGGGAGGAAGATTATTGTTTTAGATCTTGGACTACTGTAAGGCAAATTGGCCACATTTGATGTATGTGAGATGGAATCCCTAGGCGAGACCTTTGTGAGAGTAAGATGGAAAAGTCTAAGTAAAGAAGAAAGATAAAAAAAATTATTGAGACATAATGGTGGAAGAAGGCATGGAAATAAATGAAATGCTACTTATGTTTATATTGGGATTGGAACTTCTTATATCAGATTGATCAATTTTAATTATTACTTTTTGTTTTATACTCTTTATCTTTAAGAACTTAGTATACTTTTCTGCTCTTTGACAAAGTACGAGCACTAATGTCACTCGTGATAGCAAAAAAACTTGTGATATTGATGTAACTTAAAGATAAGTGAGTATTGTATTAAAAGACATGTCTTTGTATACTTTCAACAATAAGCTCAATAATTTTTATATGAAAATATAAATATAGTAATACAAAGATTAAAAATGATAAAAACAATATATTAGTTAAAAATTCTTCCTTTGAAAAAATTTAAATTGTTGTATATTACAATGATTCAGCTTCAAAGTATTGTCAAAATAAATCTAATGTGTTAAGTAGTAGTATTTGTGTAGACATTGGAATCATTTTATCTTCAGATTAAAGATTTAGTAGATAAGAATCTTTAATAATAGCTATAGATGTATGTATTGTATGGTAGAGGATGGCAAAAAACCCTATTATTTAGGAAGATATAGTGAAAACTTCAAAGTTAACATACTGTCCATTTTTGAAAGTACAAGATTAATATTACTTTGATAACACTTAGGGTTCTATAGATATAAAAGTTGACTTTTCATAAAAGCTTAACTCTAACACTTAATGTGGCTATAGACTTGAGTATCTGGAAGTGAACAATATTATATTGCAATTCAAGCCACATTTACTAAGCCATAGTGCCAAGTGGAGCAACTCAAAGTTTGGAAGCCTAAGTTAGTGTTGCTTTAGTTGAATTTGAACTTAAGTTTTTTTCCTGCAATATCTTATGTCTCCATTCTCCATTTAACTACACAAGCAAATATATCATGTTCTTAATGTCAAATGATTTTTGTAATAGAAGGTTTTGGTGTTATATCACAAATAACATAGTTTTGCTAATGTGGACCTCTAATTGAGAAAGAAGGTAGTCATTTTAATTTTGATGTTAGATGAAGAGGGAGTACATTTGCTTCTAAGTGTAATTTATATTTTATATATATGATAAATTTACAAACTATAGATAATACTTAGAAGATATAAAATATTAAAAATATCAAATTTAATTCTTCATTAGAATTTGATGTAATAGGTTATATATTGCAATAGATTGACATTGAAGGTGATCTTAGGTAGAAACTTCTTTTGGATTTAAAACCTAAGATAGATTATGAATCCAAATATGCATTTTTGAATGAAAAGCTTGAATGGAATGACATTCCTACTAGTTTAGTTGAAACAGATAGTGAAACAACATCTGTAGATAATGACAAAACAAATCATCTCAATATCATGATACACAAGCTTTTGAAAAAATCCATAAAAGAATTTTTGGACCAATCATCCATCTTCAGCTTGGAAGCATAGAAAAGACCTAATAAACTAGACAATAAGAGCATTTGTACAAAGAAAGAAATGGATTCTTTGGAAACTTAATGATTAACAAAATAGCTTCCTAAATCTAGTAGGTCATCAACAAATAGTCCTTTAAGGGCAAGAAGTTCATAGCATACACAAGATGGAGAAGCTTTGGTAACTTTAGTTGCACATAAATCATCAAAAAAGCTTAAAAATTATGATCACCTAACAAGACAATCAAGATTTAAGTCAATATCTCTACATAGTTGGAAGAAATAAAAAGATGGTTATCTTAAGTTTTCAAATTCTTTACATTTGTTGAAGTCTATACTTACAATTAATATTTATAAGTTTTAATTTACTAAAATGTTCAAAGTAGTTGATATATTGTCAATTTCACATATGTGTTTACGTGCTTATTACAAGAGTATGAGTTGCTATGGTCATGAAGATTTATAAATTTTAGCTACTAAAGACGTAAAAACAAAGTATGTGCTATCTTCCTTTGTACGACTTCAAAAATTAAGATCATATAAAGATATCAATTCTAGAGGTGCCTATAAGTATGCAGAAGATAATCCACATAATATTAAATAAAGCGATAACTAAATAAAGAAGAAAGATAAAGAAGGACATTCTTAAAGGTTTTTGAAAGACAACAATGGGCTAGTGGATGAAGACCTGCATATAAATTGAGAAATTCAGTTGTTGCCAAACAAAACAATGTAGAATTAGGATCTGATTTATTATTGTACATAGAAGAATTTGTCTTTGACCTCAGACTTTCACCCTGAGAGAATTCACCATTTTCAAGTATAGACTTAAATGAATTTATAGAATTTAAAAACTCAAGCATGATTGCTAAAGTTGGCCAAGATGATGGTATATCTGGTACCTTATTAGGTTACATCATTGGGTTGGCAATTGCACTTGGTATTACTTTGACTTGTGCTGAATTAATCTTAGGTTATATGGAAAATATAATTCTTCCTTCTTGAGTTTTTGTGTCTAAATCCTACAAAGACTGATCTCTTATGTTAGATTGACTAAGGATGAGAACTATATGTCACCAAATAGGGTTGTAGTTTTAGTAATGAAACATCTTCAGCTAAAACTGTGATGGTTTGGATTCTAATAGAAAAACTAGGTTTCACTAGTCTATTAATTGACATGATAGCTATCTAATTTTGTCCATTAAGTGTGGTTCCTCCCTGGATGCTGAGAATCATCAAAAGTTTTGTCTCGCTAGACACGTATTCCTGTAAATTCTCAATGAATCATTGTCAAGAAGATTTGACAAGTAAGTGTACCATACAAACCTTGTGATCTTAATAGTAATTTTTCTTTTTCTTCCTCTGTTTTTTAAACAGCTTTTCATTTGAATTTATTTGCCCTTGGTACCATGGTCAATATTTCTAGAAGCGCTGCTCTATGGTATGTGAAGATATGTAGAATTGTTTTAGCAAGTGCTTTTGGGACATGAAGAAAACCTGAAGTTGATACAAGGCACTCATTGCCACAAAAGGCTCTTAAACATGTCATAGTTGCTATTCAGTGTTTTATTTATTTATTTTCTAATTTATTTTACAAAGTCATTTTCATTTTGTGTAAAAATTCTGAAGCAATCAATGCAATCATTAAACAATTGATGTTTCCGTAAATGTTGTAGTTGTATTTCAAAATCCCTAAACAACCAACAATCCATAGCCATAAAAAAGAGCCTTACAAAATCCATGTATTACTTTTTGATGGAAAAACAATAATTGAAATCTAATATTTTTTGTTTGTTTATTAATACTAAAATCTTTCAATATCACAGAAAATCTTTATGATTATGTAAAGCTTATAGATGAAATAATTGTGGTATTGTTTTTAGATGTTGCTAATGTCAGCACAGTTTTTGGAACTGCCACTCCAACATGTCACCCAATTGACATACTTATTTAGTTTTTTATTTCCAACTATTTTTTCTGTTATAATTTCTTATATTATTTTTGAACACCAATCAAAAAAAGACCTATCCTAAATTAATAACTTTAAAAAAATGTATGTGGTAATAAAAAAAAAACTTATTCTTATTTAAGAACATTGAAAAAGAAAATGAGTGTCGATGGTAAGTGATGAATGGCAGGTTGTGGTGACAGTAGCAAAACTGTGGTGGCATTAACAATACCTTCGGTTTTTTCATAGTTTTAATTTAATTTAGTTTTGAATTAACTAATTAATGCTTGTCACAAAGAGGAGATGGGATGAAGCCAAGATCTGCTAGGACCTCGCCGGAATGAAGTGATGAGAGGGGGGGGGGGGAGAAGTGGGCAGCGCTCCATGTAACCCAACCTGGCTTCGGCGGGGATTTCCGAAGGCTGCAAAATGCCGAGGCTGTGCTGCTGCGATGCGATGGGGTATGACGAGGGGCACTGGACACCCCGCAGGCCGATGCGCTCTCTGCATGCATTCGACAGACTGATGGGGATCGCGAGGGGGGACGACGGCTGCAGGCAGCCAAGTAGGACGCGCTATTCGGGGGTGCCCTGCGCTGAGGATAGGACACATTTGCTGTACAGCTGATGTGGCAAAAGGCCGAAAAGTTCACCGCAACTGTCAGGCCAGCGAAGGTTGAAAAGCAGATAAAAGTTGCGTGACTGGGCGCAGATTCTTCCGACTTTGGGTGCCTTTGTGTCGAATATTTATCCGGACCGGGATGTGTCGACGTCGTGTGTTTGATCTTCCCACTCTCTACGGTACGGTTAAGGGTTTTTTGGTATAAAGCGGAGAGGTAATCTGAAGATCAGCTGTGCTGTTGTTCTGGATTTGGAATTAGCGGTCAGGCGTTGCATTACTGTGCTCTCTCGTGCCGCGGAGGTGCGCTGTGGGTGTAGATGACGAACACGTCCTAGGAATTTTATGTCCGTTTGAGGAATGTGAGCGAGATTACTCCGTTTGAGCGTGGTCGGTAGCAAGTGTAACGGGGGAGTGGCTGGGATTGTGGTGATTGAAAGCGGTAAGGGAAGTCCGAGAAAGTGGGTAGCAATCTTGAGATCAAATGGTGCGGATGACGTAGATCATGTGAGGGAGACCGGGAGGGAATGCAGCGGAGGGGACGGGCAATGCTTGTGTGATGGTAATGTCATAAGGAAAAGCTAGGAGACTGAAGAAAATGTGGTAGGAGTCAGGACTAGCGTTTTTGAACTGAAGGGGACCGCATAGCAGAAGGTGGGGATTTGTTATATTTAAGGGTAGCGATAGAATCACCAACCATGGTCGAGGGAAGCAAGAGTTGCAATATGGTCTCATTAGCTCAATGTAGTGGGATAAATGCAAGCGGTGCTCGACACTTGTTTTCTTGTGGTCCAAGTCGAGTTGTCTGGAGCTCGACATTATCGTTTGCGCATTCGTGTTCATATGAAAGAAGGTATGGAAAGACAGAGGATTTACAAGTTTGCGCAATCAGCCAACAAGGTAGTCCCTATGTGCAGGTGTGTACCCAACTTCTACGCTACTGTTAACGCCCAAAAGAAAACTTCACAATCAGTTATGTGCATAGGTATGTATAAGCAGCTTTATGTATATCGATACACACGATCGCCACGGCAAGGTGTGTAGCATATGGTTTGGTTAGCCACAGAAGTGCTTTTTCAGTAACCGGTTTCAGTTTCTCTTGTACAGTTCAGTTTGAAACATGATAAGAATTGTAGCCTTTACATGTCCCATGCAGGTGCTTACGGATGAAGAGGAGAGGCTGCGTGACATTCAACTTGCTGCCGAAGCGGCAACAGCAGCCTTGGCGGCAGATAATGAAGAAATCCTCCGACTTGACAAGCAGGTTAGTATCCCTCTTATCTTCACAGTGTTAAATATATATATATATATATATATATAGATAGATAGATAGATAGAGAGAGAGAGAGAGTATCAATGTATCAATGTGTACGTTTTTTTCTCTTTTTTTTGAGTTGTTTGGGAAATCTTGTTGGTAATGACACAGGCTGTGATTGATGCCGAAGCGCGTCTGTTTGTCCCAACTTATGTGCGGAGCCCTGTAGTCTTTGAGAGAGGAGAAGGGTGCAAACTTTATGATACAGAAGGCAAGGAGTATCTGGACTTGGCAGCCGGCATCGCTGTCAACTCCTTGGGACATGGTGATCCTACATGGCTGAAAGCTATCAATGACCAAGCGGCTAATCTTGCACATGTCAGCAATCTCTATCACACCGTGCCCCAGGTGAGCTGTGAGGTTTCTCCTCACAAACTTGACTTCCTCTTACACTGGCAGATATTCTCTGGAAACGTTTGCTTCGCTCATTATCATCAGAGGATTTGTCTGACGTAGTGGATGTAATTTAGTACAAAGCGTTTGAATAATAATCGAATTCAGGTTCACTGATATCTTTTAATTTGCAATTTTTCTTTCACTATCCGAAGAAGCTTGTTATAACGATCAGGTGTGCTGCATTCAAGAACACCGGGTGTACAGTTTATCGGAAAGATCATGATATGCAAGCTGTGCTTATCATTTTGATTGTTTTTCATTCAGGTGAAACTTGCCGAGCGTCTAGTGAAATGGTCCTTTGCAGATCGAGTATTTTTTACGAATTCTGGAACTGAAGCCAATGACGCTGCAATTAAATTTGCTAGAAAATATCAAACAGTAATAAGCAATCGAAAAGGCGACACCCGATGGATAAAATTTGGAAAATTGAGACCTGCATCCGAGCTTGTGTCATTCAGCAGTGGCTTTCATGGGAGAACCTCAGGGGCTCAGTCCCATTTTAGCAAACTCAACCTTGAGCCCCTCGCCCCAGGTTTGTATGAGCTCGAAAGCTTGTAATCTTGTATCTAGGTGAACTTGCTGGCTCCTAGTTGCTTTTTATAATAGAAATTGAACGTTCAACTGTAGAAGATTTTTATCACAACACTGCCGTACCGTAGGTTGAATCAGTCATCAGTTGTGAAGAAAACTGCGCAAAGAATATGGATATTAATAGATGATCTAATCTACTTACTGTCTTTCACTTGTCCTAGTATGCTGATATACAGCCCGTGCTATTCAGGTGCGCACTGCGTGGAATTCGGAGATCTTGAAACAACTGCTAAAGCAATTCGACGGGATCGAACGGCTGCTGTTCTTGTGGAACCGATTCAAGGAGAAGGAGGAGTGCATACCGCCTCTGCAGAATTCCTCAGAGGTCTCCGTCGTCTTTGTGATGAGGCTGGGGCGCTTCTTATCTTCGACGAGGTATTCTTTTTGTAGCAAATTGCTAATGCAAGTATCGTTTTGAAAACGGAAAAATAGCTTCTACACAACACGCAAGAGTTTGATTTAATAAAAGAATCTCAGTAGAAGATTTTGATGCAATCCATGTTTCTTGTCCTTTTTTTTCTTTTTACCCTACTAGTATTTTGGATTGCAACAACCCACTGCAGATGATGAGTTATGGGTCAAAGTCAAGCCACAAGATACACCTGAGTTTCCAGCAGCGTATTGAGGGCATAGATGAGCAGAAGAGCTCGTAAGGAGTTGAAACGTGCCATGTGATCCTGTCAATCTTTTACAGGGCTGAATTGTAGCGATATTTGAAAGCTCATGAATGCTGGCCAATGTTTGCAGGTTCAATGTGGTCTTGGAAGAACGGGATTGCTTTGGGCACACCAAGCCTATGGAGTCCAGCCTGATATGATGACGCTTGCTAAGCCCTTGGCCGGTGGACTTCCTATTGGGGCAGTTCTTGTCACAGAGGCTGTGGCCTCCACCATTTCTGCAGGTGATCATGGCAGTACATTCGCCGGGGGACCCCTTGTGTGTCAGGCTGCCTTATCTGTGTTGGACCGCATTCAGGTACACTTCTTCTTCATTAGAAGAAATGAGAATGTCTGTGAGCTACAACATTTTTCTTAGGGGGAAATGTATACGTTATTTTCTTCATAGTATGAGATATTTCGGTTGTTGTTCTTGCCAACAAAGCTGACGATGATGGGCTATCGGAGGAGAGAGATTAATACTGGAATAGTTACTTGCATCTAATGCTCTAGGGAAGTGGTATTCAGAGATTTGCTGATATACACTACTGGTGCCAAATGAGCTGCGAATGTTTGTGCCTTGCAGGCACCAGGTTTTTTAGAGCATGTTGCTGCTAAAGGTGGTCATCTTCGCGCTCAACTAAGAGAAAAGATCGGCACAAATCCCCACGTGAAAGAGATTCGTGGGGTGGGTCTACTAATCGGCGTTGAGTTGGATGTGCCTGCAGCACCGCTTGTTGAGGCAGCTCTGCAGGCAGGTCTTCTCATACTGACAGCTGGGAATGGGTATGTTGTTAAGTTGGCTCCGCCTTTGACCATATCTGAAGCTGAGCTCAATCGAGCTGTGGATATCATTGCGGGATGCATGTCTTCCCTTTTTTTAAATTTGTGAATATCTGAGATCGCTCTAGGTTAGATATGTCGTGGTAACACCAATAGTGAGCTGTTGCAAAAAGCAATGTTGCAGGCCACAACATGATGTTTAAGATCAACATCAATTAACGATTGTAACAAATGGAGCCCTTTAGTTACCAGGATTTTTTTGGGGCTTTGTGTAACCTTTCAGTGGATTGACAAGTGCTGTTGAAACGCAATTAAGTTTGCTGGTACAGCCAGTCCATCTTTCATCGGTTTCTTTGAGCTTAGCATTCAGCAGTTAAGAGAGTGAAGCCTACAGCTGGTCAAGGCTGTGGCAAGATTGGTTCATTGTATTGTCCTTATTCAGCGTGCAAATGTGCTTCCTGAATGAAGTGAATTCTCTCAGTGAACTGTTTTATTTCTGTAACTCCTCACGTATTTTGTGCGCTAATTTAGCCCAATTCGCTGAACTCGAAAGTCGAAATTTCAGAAATAAACAAATCGATAGCATATTCAAAAGGTTTCTATCGTTTATACCTTCCAACAATGATCAATTCAAAATAAAATTCATATTATTTGTAATACATATGATGAAAGTCTTGTGGAATGTAAAAAACTTGGGAAAAGATAGATGTAATATATAACATTGCAAAATTTGATTGGACTTAAAGTTGTACAATATCAGCAAGCAAAGACTTTTGAAGTATATGTACTTTCAAATCTGAAATTGTGACATTTATAACAGTGATCTTTGCGTTTTAAGATCCAAAAACTTTATTTTTCTTAAGTGCCAAACAACATTAGTGCTTATAACAGTAACCACATTCACACGAATTTTTATTTATCTGAGAAAAAACCAAGCATTGCATTTCAAAAGTAAATAATAATGATTTGCATAGCAAGCATAGTCAACAAATACCATCTAAAACATATATAGATTGAATGTAAAAATATAAGTTTTATTTTCATGCTATGAAATATATTTATTGATGAATTTTTGCAAATATTTTAAATCTCTAATTAGTATTGTAATTAGAAGAACTACTGCAAACATATCTTCTACATGGTATTCAAGACATGTAAAACTTGAAAAGCAATTTTTTTTAGAAGTGAAAAATGTGATATAAAAAAGAACTACAAATTACACTCTTTTGTTGGCATGTTTTAAGCTAATACACAAGTCAATGGAGCCATGTTGTAGACTCCTTTAGACACTAATAATGTAATGAGAGGAACCAAAGCCAATTTAGTGCTACAAGCCACTTTTTCTTTAAGTGACTGCATGAGCTGAAATTACAGATTTGCCCATAGGTTTTCTACCACTCTTAGTACAGACTTTGAATACACTGGGTTCAGAGTACACAAACCCGATCTGTAACAAAGCAACAAATGATCACATCTTAATATCAATTCGGACAAAAGCATTGTATCAGAAGTAAATGTCACGGCACACAAGTATGATACAGAATTTCTTAGGTGTTACAGGCATGCATGAAAAGGGCTTCATCCTCTACTCACCTTTGTACAAAAGCGAAGGTGTCCTCTACTAAGATTGGCTGTTGTGTGAGAATCTGTGGCAGAACACGAACTTTCATTTCCCTTACACTACTAACAGTCCTTTTAATGGAATGTATCACATCTTGAGTATAGTCAAGACACGTTTCCCAAACTGCCAATGCATGCCTGTGCTGCATCTATGTAGACTGTACAATGGTTTTGGTGATAACCTCCCATGTACCCGAAAGTTTAACCTTGATACCTGCTCTAATCATGCGGCTGAACATATCTACTGTAAAGTTGCAAGGAATCCATAGTGAACATGTTTAAAGAAAAGATCATTGTTCATATGAGAGGGCAGCATAAATGTCGAGCAGTAGCTACTGAAGTCTCAACCTTCAAGTTTAGTCCTAAAATATTATACGAACGCTGAAGGAATTTCCAAGACAACGACAGGAGTAAGTCAATATCCTCTTGCGACGTGCAAAGCGTTGCAATAAGTTTCGCCATTCGAACTTACAGCGAAATACATTTGCCTCACACAACTTTCCATTTTAACTCTTACGCTAAAATCGCTAGTCCCTGCACCAACTCTAACGATTGACACACACATGAAGTGCATAGGTATTCCTAAACCTAAATTCTGACCACCTTCGATCTCAGTGCGATATCAAGGCATATGGTCTCATGCGTTCTTTCATGCCGGAGGTAAAACGCTACTAAAAATTTGAGAAGTCTGACAAGAATACTTCAAACAAATAAGACAATGTTCAATCAAACAACGGAGCACTCACTACACATTCCCAAGTGATATACGGCGAACAGTGATTTGGAGTTCCAAAGCAAGTCAGTTCTGACTTCCAAGGGATCCAACCTGAGAATTCATCAATTGGAAGGTTAATTGTACTCTGTCTAGCTCACCCTCTATGCTATCTACAGGCTGTGCAACCCTCTCCTCTGCCACCCACTGTTTGAGACAGTGCATTCAACAGAGACACGTGAAAATAAGTCCGGCACAGACAACAGACAAAAGAAAATTGAAAAATTCTCCACATTACCATCCGCCGTCCTTGCCTCCCTGCAGTATGCGATGTAATCGGAACACCTCACCTTGACATCCGTTCAGAAACCGCTTTTCAACATGGCATGCTGTAAGCTGTCGTAGTAGCTTTTCCAACGCGGATTGAGGAGGTTTTCCAGACTTATCTGCGATTTCCATGGAGGGATTGGTGTCCAATATAAATGCATTCACTGCATCTGCCACCATCTCCCGTTGAGCGAATTGCAGAAGATAAGCCATCGGGGAGTCTTGAGGCCGTTCGTACGCCAATAATGCTAAACAATCATGCAGCAATAGGTCCTGATCTTGGCACTTTCCAAAGAACGATGCCAACTGCGATCGTGCAAGATTCACAGCATCGCTCACTTGCCCTATTCTTATTAACTCAATGAATTTTTGGCATCGCAAAAGAAATAAGATAGTAGAGTAATGCTCCTCCTTAACCTGTGGATACCATTCCTGAAGGTTTGTGATTACACTATCCACATTGCCCTCCCTTATCAGCCGTCGCAATAACTTCCGCTTGTCCAATGCATACATGCCATCATCCGCCGTACCATTCGTATCCTGATGCAGAAGGAACTCTACCGACGCAATGGAGCCCACGCTGCCGTCCCCACTCGCAGCACCGCATGCGGCATCAAATGCAATAAGAGTGTCATGATAGCCATAGTGAATTAGAAAGGCACGTACAATACTATGGCTGGCAGTAGGAGGAAGAGGCAGGCTCTCCACCGCACGTTGTCTCCGACCTCGTTCGTCCAAAATCATCGACTCTACGTCAAACATAAACTTTCGCTGTCCGAAATTGACCTCAACTTTCTCATTAGGGCTGTGCAATCCGATGGTCGGGTACAAAGGCGTCTTCACTTCCTTATACACACCTGACAACACCTTGCCATTTTTCGTGAAGAAAATCTCCTGCGAGGCATAATTGATGCCAGCGCCCACCGTATCCCCCACAGTAAACCCTGGCGCATACGTCTCCGCCAACCCAGGCCCACGGTACAGCTTCCCATCGTCGCCGTGATAGCCATAACTATTCGCCTCCCAGCCTGGCTGCCGCGAGTTCTTAAAATGCTCATCCGTGAACCCTATGACGGTGCAGCCTTTCTGTCCTCGGTCCCTGACTGTCATCTCAAAGTAGTACAGCCACCGACGGCACGGCGCAGGCCGATTGGCTTGAATGGCGCCAACATCATTCCCATGCCGGCCATCCCCCGTGTACTTCGCAGTGAGTTTATCTGTCGAAACCACCAGATACAAGCTGCACGTACTCGTGTTCAAATGTGTTGGTTCTTCCTCCACTTCTTCCTCCCCATCGTCGTCCAGCTTCGCCCTGAACATGACACTCGAGCTTTTCTCCGACCTGACAAACGGGCAGAACCTCTCCGCCATCGGAGACGCCAGCCTGCCCGTCTCCCTCGCTTCTCACTATCCAACTTCAGATACCACTGCCACCACCTACTCTCTCCTCCGCCGCAACACAGCTTCCCGCATATTTAAATCTCCACTCATCGCTCATTCAATTACCCCTAGCAACACATCCTGATCCATCCTGCTCGCCCGCCCGCCTGCCTGCGCACGCTCCTTCGATCGATCGCCCACCCTCGGAAGCCCTCCGAGTCATGTCGCACTATTCTGAAGCCCCTCAAATCCTTTTGTCCCGATGATGATGGCTTGGCAGCAGGCTGCAGCGGTCTCCCACGAGGCCTCGAAAATAGGTCGACGATAACTTGACGAATGCTCTTCTTCGTTCGTCCACTTTGCTGTACTCTACAGTACCGTGTGCAGACTGCTTAGGATTTGGGGTGACGGGCGGACCGAGCGCTATTAATGCGTGAACTCTCATGAAAACTGAACAACTTTATGATTGACGGGTTCAAGTGAGATGGGCTAACGATATCATCGATTGAAATTATTTTATCAGCTTCGTAGGAAGCTCTTGGAAGATCGGCACCAGTTCCACGTTGTACTCGGTAAAAGCTACACCTAGCTTGGAACTCCTGAGTCACATCCTGCGACATGTTGATGAATCGTTTAGTTGAATTTTTCCATTGTGTAGTTTTTCCTGAATATTCCTGCAAGTTTTCAAATAAGTTTTTGGTATGAGCCAGCTCTAGGCGGAACTAATAGGTTAGACTTTTACAGTATAAAGCACTGGTCATTAATAAAAAGGGACTAATCCACAATGTTCATTCAGGGCAACTTTCCTGCGTTTCTGCTGAATCAATCATATTGATAGAATCATTACAATAGTACTAAACATCTACCAAATTTCCGTAATATGAGTAATTCATTGTTTGACAGCTGAGCTGAGAAATCCTGCCAGTTGATACATTCACATCACATTCCCCGTCAGAATAGAAAACTGTGCAGGTGCCCACAGGATATCAACATTAGTTTTGAACATAAATAGATGACGATTGATAATTCTGCTCATGATTTGCACCTTTCATTTTGACAAATTTGAGCAAGCTATGTATCTGAATCTTCAACTCTACAATCTGAACACAAAATGCTAAGCCAGTGCATGTAAAGGATCACTTCTGTCTTCTTGCAGACATGCATGAGAAACACCTGTTACATTTATTTCCGTCTAGACAATAAACATATACATGAGGATCAAGAATCAGATGCAGAGTCATCAACTTCGGACATCATGAGGGATCGACACATGGAGAAATTGTTGTCATCTTAGAACAAACTTCTTCTTAGTACATCAATATGGAGGCTGCCATCAAGTCCGCAGTCGCAGAGCTACAACTGGTCTTCATTCACATTGTAGTGCGGTAGCACAGGAGGCACATGAGAGTGTTGACCATCAAGGCACTCCTTAACCCCACCCTATGTCTTCTCGATGCTCACTTCAGGGTCTGTCTCCACTCTCCGTCAACAGAACAGGCTTTCAGCAATGAATGCACCATCGCAGACTGCTTGGAAAGAGAGAGGAAGCGACAACACAACATGGGATTTCCCCGAAAAGATGGTGCTGTAATTTTCTCCGAAGGTGGGGGGGGGGGGGTTATCTAACGAACTGATTACACAGCACGTTAAAATCGATGAATGAGATGAGAAAGGAATGGTCCCGACAGATGATTGGCATCCATCCAACTGCACTGAAGCCATGTAAGTTTTGAATATGCTATGGATTATTGCCTATAAAATCAGTATTGAAGATGTGTGTTATTATTAGAATAGGCAACACAACCCCTTAACAATTAATTGTACACTTTCTTGGTATAAAATAGAGATGACAACAAAATCCTAATTTCAAGAGGTACAATGCTCTCTTTTGCTTTAACTTGCACACTTTTTGGTAGAGCTAGGTTTAAGAGTGGTGGTGGCTCTAAAGTGTGGTAAACGTTGAAGACCCTAAAATTTGACCATTATGTCCTCCCTTTGAACAATGTTCTGCAAAAGGAATGATGATGTGAATAAAAGACTTGTTTGCAAAACAACTATCTCTCAATGTGCATCAAATGAATTCCTACAATAATCATTTTGTAACAATTCAACAAAAATTGTCAATTTAAAGAAACTTAAAGACATTCTCTCTACAATGAAGTCATGTAAGTTTTGAATATGCTATGGCTGAAACACTAAGATAGACAACCCATTTTTGATAATTGAAGCATTTTAGCATATATCTAATAGGTATAAAAATGAAAAAATAAAAAAAAAATCCATTTAGAGAAATAGAAATCAAGAAGATTTCAAGTGTTTTTACACAATTTGGCCTAATAACAAAATTCATATATTTATATTTTAGCTGAAGAATCCATTATGGACATATGAGCCTATTTAATTCTAATTGGTGGTAGGTTATGAAACCAAAAATCCTACTTTTACAAAATCGCAATGTGTGGCACCTATTAATGTTATGAAAAAAAGTGTGGCATCTAATTATACTATTATTCTATTTCAACCAATCTACAACTACCACCTATTAATAGTTCATACAAATCCATTCTAAGTACAATGAATTTTATTTATTGCTCACAACTTAATATTACTATAATCAATCTACAACTATTTTCAATCAATGGAAATAATTTTTTTTCAATTGATATTAAACCTAGTTATTGAATTAATTGAAATATGATACTTTATATATTAAAAAGAAGGAGGTGATCAACAATGGATTGGCTATCTTACTATTATTTAGCTTATTGATAGAAGATGTGAAATAACGTAATTCAAGCATAGTGTAATCAGGAAATCCGAATTGCCACAATTTCTGAATTAAGTATAGTTTAAATCGGTTCAAACACAAGGGAAAGAACTGTCGCATGAGTTAATTGTTAAGGTCACCATTAATTGAATATAATCATTTGATATTCAATAAGTTAATTCCCAATCACTGAATTGTATAATATTAATTCTTCAGTACCATGTCTAATTTAATAACTTCAATTACAACATTCTCAATTTCTTATCAATTCTCTGTAATTCTAACTTCATTTATATTTTCCAACTCAATGGTCATTCAATCATTTTCAAACTATCATCTCTCAATCTATAATACTATTTCATGTGCAATGTATAGAACCAACTCTGGTCCAATACAACATTCACTGTAACACTGTGATCAACACACAATTCTCATAAACTTCTCTTTATAAACACAACGAAACATCAAAATACAAAAGGAAAGAAATAGAAAAAATAGAGGTAGCACCCAAGCATACCCCGGCTCTAAGACTCACAAGTGTGGCCCTAAGCTAATCAATCTTTCTCCTACTATACCCTTTTTCAGATTCCAACCGGTTTTTGTCAGTTAACTGTATCTTGGAACCTTTCACATGACTATTGGTTTCCTGATTTCATCAATACCGGTTCTAATCTACTAAAGTCAAAATTTTAGCACTAACTAATTTACCCGTTCTACATAGCCTCACTCCTAACTGTGTCGCGTCCTCGCAAACATCCAATTCTAGAACCAATTCTCCTAATATTATTAGTTGTCAGCATTGGTTGGCTCCGATAATTCATTCAATAAGATCGTTTCAACTGGTGCTTGCGCCTGAAAATTGGGTTCTTCGATTTCCTCTTCTTCTTCTTCTTCTTCTTCTTCTTCTTCTTCTTCTTCTACCTTTTCCAATTGCTCAGTTAAGTCTTCATTGGCAAATCCCAACACTCGCACTTGCTCTTCCAACCTTGCAATATACTTCTGATGGTCATCAAGCTTGATCTTCAATTCTGCAACTTCTTCAGAATTGGAAGTACTCACCGGTTGTCTTGTTAAATTCAATTCTGCTTCCAAATTTCTAATGCGATCCCGTATTGTAGCAACTTCTAACAATGTCTGTTGATGGTCTTTCTCCAATTTTGCACATTTCTCTAGGGATTCCTGCAATTGTGTCCTTGCTAGATCTCGTTCCTACTTCAAAAGATCTTCTATAGCTTGATGAAGCATTCTATCCATCCGCCAATCCTTGTCCATTTTGTTTAACCTAACTTCCAATTCTGTATACTTCGTCACTTTTTCAGCCAACTTCTCTTCCAATTCTGTAATTGTCTTCTGTTGAGTTGCAACCAATTTCTTCTGATTCTCCAAATCTTTACTCAGCTCATCACTATCTTGTAATTTGTGCACCATTCTATGCAACTTGTTGAATTGGGGTAAGAGTGTCTCCACTTGATATAACAACATCTCTTTAGCACTTCTCCATCTATCACCAGAACTGTGTTGACCCTCGAATTGGGTAGATGTCTTTCCAGTCAACCGGTTTGGTAAAACCAAAGTTAAAGATGGTTCTCGTCTTTGATCCAATTTTTTCTTGCCCTTAGAACTGGTACCCACTACGATTGATGGCTGATTGGTTTGCTCATGTTGATTTTGCACTATCTGCTCAGGTGACTTGGCTCGCTCAGTCTCCTTCTGTCTTTCTTCAAGGGTGACTACCTTCCCTGACTTCTTCAACTTCTCCTTCTCTTGTTCTTGTAGAGGGAGTTTCAACTGATACTTCACTACCTCAGAGATGTAATTGGAACAAAGTAATGTAGTAATCTTCCCTAACGTCCTCTTGTATGATAACTCGTTATGCATACGTTGAGCTACAAACTCTGCCCAATTAAACGTCATACCATCCATTGAAGCCACTGCTGCGAACAACAAGTTCTTGGCAATATATGTTGTATGTCTATTTAACGCCATTCTCTTCTGAACAAATCGTAACCACTCTCCCACTTCTGGTTTAAGAACGTCCAGGACCTTCCAACCTTGGCCTTTCACAAACGCGTCGGCCTTCGAACAAAAATATAGCTCCGGATTGAACTCCACCATCACCTCCGATCCTACGGCCAGTTCTCCAATTGGCAAATATAAAACTTTGTGTAGAATGGGCGCCTCCAATCCCACAATACGATTATGCACCACACTCGAACCATCTGATGGGTCATAATGTCGCAGAAATTCTTCTACAATAGACGGATCTAATGGCAGTAAAATTCTTGAATATCGCAAGAAACCATAAACATCCGCCTCCTTGAAATCTTTCTCGAATTTCTTCTGCCACAGCAAGTCAATCTGGCAATTCTCCATATTTGTGAACGTTACCAGCTCCAATTCTGGTAACTCATTCCTAAACCTCACATTCCTTGACCTATCATCCCTCTCTTTTGTTCGCTTAAGACGTCTCGCCATTGTAAAACCCTAATAACAAAACCTCTCACCCTAACACAAAAACACCTCTTTCGGTATTTTCTCACGAAATACTTCTCAACTGAACAATCTTACTCTTATCTTAAACACTCAATACTCTGGG